CTAACACGGATAAAACTTTTGTTTCATTTTATTATTTCATTTCATGTCACGTCATTTTTTTCTCTTTCTTTTTGCAACAAAAAGGTAATAACTTTATTCTGTAAAAATATGTACAGGTTAATAAGAAAACACGTGGACCTTTTTCTAGCTAAATAAGTAAAAGACACAATTTCCAAAAGAAAAGAGGCACCATTAGTAGGAAGATCTACGGGAACGTGTACCTCCACTCCTCTGTAGTAAAACTTTCATTTCCTATTCACACTTCCTATCAAAGAAAAGGACTAACCACCCAAGAGAAAAATGGGTGATGGAGATAAAAAGATAATTACAAGACAGGGAACATAAACAGCTTTTGAGCATATGAACTATTGCTCAATTTCATTCACAATAATAGAAATGCAAATTAAAACTCTTGCAAGATCCTATCTTCCTCCTATCCGATTGGCAAGGTCACATCCCTTGATAATGTGTTTTGTTGGTGAAGAATGAGAAAACATTCTTGCACATTGTTCATGGGAGTGGAGATTGGTACAATCTTCATGAAGGGTGATTTGGCAATCTCCATCAAAATAACAAATGCAAAGATCCATCAATCTGGCAATTTCTTTTCTAAGAGCTTATGGCAGGGATGTGGCAAGACACATATGGAATGATTCAGGTACATGTTATTCACTGCAGCACAGTTACAATAGGAAGATACAAAATATTAGAAGCAACTTAAATGGCTCTCACAGGGAGTGATTAAATATAAGTTACTGATAACAACAGAATACTATGGAGAACTTCTTTGTGTACCCATATAGAAGGATCTAAGACACCTTAAGGAGGGGGAGGACCACTGTCAATCACAATGTGTATAGTCCTCTGATGGGACACAGAGCCAGGTTCTTTCTGGTGCTGGCACCTGAAAGGCACCTGCATTTGCTGCTGCAAGTCCAGCACAAAGCCTCTCGAGCAGGGCACTCTCACCTGGACGGAGGAGAAGGGGAGATAAGTCCAGCACCAAGTCCAGCCAGCCCTGGGCCGCCAGGCAGGGAAAGGATGGCAGTGAGAAGCGAGGGACGGATAGGGGTCACCCGAAGCTCGCCCAGGTACCAACACCTAACGCACCTCTCACCTGGGCTGACCTCCCCAAAGCCGAGCAAATATAAGAGGCTGCCAAGACCTGGGAAACCAACTGCAACTCCAAGGGAGAAACCAGCTGCGGATCTGAACAGCTGGAGAAGGAGGAAGGGAGGAGTCGTCCTCGGAGAAAGAGCAGGGTTCATGCCCTGTGCCTCCTCCCAAACCTGAGGAGCAGGTTCCTTCTGGGACTGGGACCACTTGCCCTGCAACTCCCTTGGCCCCATCTTTCCCCTAGGCCCACAGGTCACCACTGGCTACCAGAATGCGGCACTACTGCACCCTGGACCCCGCCCCCCTGCACTGCACAGCAGGCCAGTAGGGGCAGGACCTACCGTGGACCCGTGGGGAGGAGATTTTCTTTGGTCTCAGTTCCCTCCACCCTTCTCCCCGCACAGAGGCTCACTGGAAGCGGGCAATAGTTAGTCTCACCTTGCCAGCTGTGTCCTCTCACTCTCTAGGATTTTGGTTTGGGGCTGTCCCTCTTCTCTGCCCCTCCACTATGGTGTTCCCTAAAAGGTCACTGTTCCCTTGGCCTTAAAAGGGGTCCAAGTCCCCTCTCATGTTGCCATGTCCACTCCCCTGTACTGGCAATAGCAGGTGTGGCCAGTGGAGGTTGTTATTTGGCCAGCAGGAGGACCCCAGCCAACACGTGTCCCTCACCACCTTTTCTAGCCCCCGCACTAAGTTAGACAGCCGCCTCTGGGGTCCAGGAAGGGAGGAAGGGGAGAGTCCTCCACCCCTCTTCACAGAGGCCCCAGCCCACCTGGCCCTCACCCTGGGAGTGAGTGTCTATTGCACCAGTGGAGAGGCAGAGTCACCTGGTACAACTAGGTGAGGTTCAGGGGACCCAGGTTCTCTGTGACCACCCGAGAGGAGGGGCAGCTCACCCAACCCTATCTGCTTCCATGCTAGACCTTTCCCCCTTTTCTCAAAGGGGCAACTATAAGGAGGAGCCCACCCCTGTGACCCCTCCCCACTTGGAGCTCCAAGTTGAAACCAAGGTTCTGGCTGTAACTTTCCTCTGTTCACAAACTCCCTCTGAACAATCTGCTGCTTTTGTTCAATGTTTCATTCTTGGACATCTGGCATTGTTGCTGCTCTCTGCACCCAGTGTTCATCTTCATCACACCCCCACCCCCACTCCTGCCAACATTCCCTGCCCCGTTCTTTATGGGGAAGGAGGCCTGGGGTGCAGCAGCTGGGATACCCACTACTTCAGTCTCCAGGATACTGTTGTAGAGCGAGGGGATGTGTCCCACATCAGTCACTGAAAATAAAGGGGTCTCTTTATTTCCTATCCTGTTGGGGAGAGGCAGCCATTATTTGTCCCCATCTGGTTTCCTATTTGCAGTTACTTGCATAAAATACATATATTTTGCTATCATTTATGTAATGGACAAAACCACCTGTATCTATTTGCTGGTATGTGTATAATAACTAGTGCTTATCCAACTACATGGGGCCAATCATTGTTCTTCATGTCTATGTATATACAGTCACTCATTTAATCACAATAGCTATATGAGATTGGCACTATTATTACCACAATTTTCAGTGTATAGATGAGGCAATTGGTGCTCAGAGGGAGCAAGTAATTGTGGGAGAACAGAGAGGGTGAGTAGGAGGCAAAAGAGGTAAATGATGGATAGGAAGACGAGGAGGACTTTTCACTGCACACTCCTGTGTATCTTTTATCCTTAGTTTATTGCTATTACAACAAAATACCTAAAACTGGATAACTTTATAAAGAAAAGAAGTCTCTTCAACTCACAGTTCTGGAGGTTTAAGTGCATGATGCTAGTATTGGCTCAGCTCTGGAGTCTCCTGGTGGAATGGCATCACAAATAGCAGGTGCGCATGCAAGAGGGAGACATGATATCACCAGACAAGAAGCTAGAGAGTGGATCAGGGGGAGGGGATCAGGCTTTTATAATAAGCAGTTCTCAAGAGTACTTCTCCAGGAGAGCAGCATTCCCCTGTGGGGGGCGGTACCCAATGACCTAAGGAGTCCCATTAGGCCCCACCTCTGAATGATCCCACCTCTCACATCATCAAACTGAGGACCAAGCTCCTAACACATGAGGCCTTGAGGGACACACTCAAATTTCATCCAAACCGTAGCATCTTGTGAATATATTACCTTTCATAAATAAAAGGATATGTCTGTCATGCACCTTGCTGTATTGTACTCCCGAGAGGTGCCCATCTACAGACATCGTATTGCACAAGAACGTTGGGCTGGGGAAGGGAACATCTGGCTATGGGTCCAGTCTATCCTTAATGTGTCCTCTCTGGAACTTGGTATCATCTTCCACCAAACACAAGTGCTCGGGGTGCATGGTAACGGTGGTATTGAATCACATCTGTGTTTCCTAAACTCTTTGACAGTCCAGCTCATCTTAAAAACTTTAAAGTAGGTAGCTTCATGAGCACATATTCTGATTGAGCATAGGACTGGAGTGCAGTTTGGGGATTTGCATTTTCAAAAGCCACCTCGAGGCAATCCAGATATAAAACTGGGTTTAGAAACCCTGGACCAGATGATCTTTCAGGGCTTCCTCTCAGCTCTAAAATTCCACATCCTGTGAGGTAGTGAGTGTCACATCAGAACCACTTTGCCATTTGCCATTCACGCCCCCACCTTCCTCCTGTCCTCAGTCCATCTATCCCCTCTAGAAGCTGCCTTCCTCCTGGTCCATCTCAACAGGAAATGGAAATGAAAAGGCAGGGCTGTGTCTTTTGATCTTGGTCCCCCCCACCCCAACCTTCCACCCTCCAGGCCCCCACTTACTGGTATTGTACTCTAGAGGGCTGAGCCTGTCCACTCCAGAGCTGCCATTCATTATCATTCCAAGAGGATGACAAGGTACCAAAGCCCCAAATGCCAAGACAGACATTTTGAACCATCTCAGAATTTACACCTGGACCTTATTCCTCTGGGGATTCTAGTCTTTTTCCAAAGACAGTGTGTTTCCTGGGATGACCCTCTGGGTATTTTACATATTAATCCCAAATTCTGACAGGTGGTCTACAAGGTTGGGATTCTTTAAAAGAAAAGAAAAAAGGTGTACAACACTCTTACTCTGATGCTCTATTTTGGATATTCAGCCATTCTTCTTCCCTCCCTCCTTCCTGCATCTCCTCCTTGCATCAAGGAAAGGCCTGTGGCCAGGGGGTGGAAGTTCTCCCCACCTGTCTTCTCCCTTGGGCAGAGAGAAGTCTGAGGGTTCAGATCACTCTGCTGCTGAGAGGGAATGTGGTTCCCCTGCCTTTTGCAGTTTTATGGCGAGTCTTTCTCCATTTCACAAGTCGGTTATTACTCGGTGATTGATGCTCACCGACCAAGCCCAAACAAACATGCGCGGCACACTCCACATACCACACACAGACACAAATATTTGCAGGGCTCACATGGGCTGGGGTGAGATGCTATTTCCACCTGGGAGGAGGCACATGATCAGACCTTCAATCTCGGCCTCTGCCCGTGGCAGGAGGAACCAGGGCCTCCAGCTTCAGCTCTGGTTTCCCAGGACCCAAATCCATGACAGAAGGTGCGCTGCTGAGTGTTGGGGTCCTCTCTTAGCCCCAGAGAAGGTGCGGCAGCCGGGCCCCAACTCCAGAGCCCCCATCTGTGGCCAGCTTCCCCTTCCTCTCTCCTTAACCCGGGCTAATGACAGGTCTTTCTGGAAGATGTATTCTTACCCTCTGGACAAATAGCAGTTGGGACGAGTGGGGCTTTTTATGAGTCGAGGTACTCGGGGCTGGAAAATAAACAGCCAGTTAATGAGACGTTCGTATGGAAACGGACATAAATAATAACAAAGCAAACATCCTGTCTCTCGTGCCAACATCCCGGGGTGGGGGGATATAAAAGCTGCTGTCCGGCTGGTCACTTGTCAGACCTGGGGGAGCTTGGGCTGCGTTCCTGACCTGCGAGCTGACCGGCTGGGACCATGGGGTGCTGCCCAGGGGACTGCTTCAACTGCTGCACCCAAGAACAAGAATGCTGTGAGGAGTGCTGCTGCCAGCCCTCCTGCTGCGGCTGCTGCGGCTCCTGCTGTGGCTGCGGAGGCTCTGGCTGCGGAGGCTGCGGAGGCTGTGGCTGCGGGAGTAGCTGCTGTGGATCTAGCTGCGGAGGCTGCGGGGGTTGTGGAGGCTGCGGGGGCTGCGGCTCCAGCTGCTGCGGCTCCAGCTGTTGTGGCTCCGGCTGCTGCGGCTCTGGCTGCTCCTCCGGCCCTGTCTGCTGCCAGCCCACACCTGTATGCGACACGAAGTGAAGACCTTCGCCCTACCTACCAAGGAGGCGGTGCCAGCGACAGCCTCCATCTGCTCCAGCTGGAGACCCCTTCCTCTCCAGAGCCCTCCTTGCCCGCAAGACACGGACCTCTCCCGGACTTGTAGACGAGGGCTGGTTCTCCAGCGCCTGCCCTGGTGCTTCGAGGCGCTGAGAGCAATAGCCCAGTTTCTTGGCGAGAAATTAAAACTGGGTCTCAAGGAAGTGAGCCCCGAGTTCAAAGGATGAATTTCCAAGGCCTTATTTGCAAGAAGTTCGATGTCTTGTCACTGTACGTTCTCTCATTCAAGGTGTTTGGGACTGATCTTCCTCTCTAGCTTACTGTTGCTTTGGAGTTTAAAAAAAAAAATAAAAATAAAAATAAAACAAAGACCCCCCCCAAAAACAAAACAAAACAAAAAAACCCAAAAGAGAAAACAATAAAAAAAACTTTGTTAACCCCTTAATAAATTCAAGTGTGCTGGCATAACCCCATCAGTCCTCTTGCCTCTTCCTTCAACCCCTCCTGGGACTAGGTTAGGAAAATTTACTCTGGCAATCCAGGCTAGGACTTTTGCAATGTGCTGTGTGGATCGACTGTACCAGAATCACCAGGGTCTAATTAAAACTGGAGAACCTGCCCCTGCATACAGGACCAGAATCCATAGGGGCTTGGCCTGAGGATCTGTGTTTTTAACAAGAATCTCAGGTAATTCTTTGCATTGAAGTTAGAGATGCATGGATGTATGTGGCAGCTGCATGACATTGGCTTGGGGAGGCTTTTAAGAATACAGAAATTTGGGCCTCACTGCCGGAGGAGATTGTATCCATTAGCTGTAGGGTCTAGGGAACCCTGGGACCTGTATTGTTAAAAGTTCTGTGGTCAATACTGACGCTGGACAAATTTGGTCTTGATTGAAGGGCCTGGCTTCCTTTTGGACAGCAGTCTTCCTAGGATAGTTCAGCAGGAGACCTTCTGGCTTGTTCAGAACTTTCTGGAAAAGCCAGGGAAGGAGGCTTTGGTAAAAACAGGCTTGGTTCTGAGTGGATGGGATTCCTGTGGCAAGGCTGTGTGAACACAGGTCCTAGGGAAGTTCTGGGCAGCTCAGCTCCTCCTCCAGCCCCAGGCTCTGGCTCAGTTTGGCTTTTCTTGCTTTGGAGCCAGCTGTATTTCTTCTGCTCAGGAGGGGAAGGTGCATATCTGCTAGGGGGCTTGATGCAGGTGTGTGAGCCCAGCTAAGTTAAACCCCAAAAGATAGTTGATTTGGCCTTTTGCTGAAAGTGATCTTGCCCTAGACGAACAATGTTTGTTTTCATTCCTACAAAACAATGCTCCATTGGATAAACAGGAAATCAGAACTATTATATCAATGATTCCTAAAAATACAAAAAGCTATAGAAAAATATAAAGAAGAAACAATAGCCTTCTGAATGCTTAGCGTTTGTTACTGAGATTTATCTTTTGCCAACATACTTACAACTGGAATTATGCTGATTCTACTTTTTTGCTTTTTAAAAATGTTCTGTTTCACTTTTTATGAGTCAGTTTTGTTGAGATACTGCTAGGTAGCAGGCAGACATGTGCAGTGAGCACATGGAGCTTAAAGGTTTAATTCTACAGATAAAGCCTATGTGCTCACTCTCGGCACGTTTTTCTTTGAAGCGACGTTCCTAGGCCACTCCGATCCTGCTGTGGTTTAAAAAACCTAACAGCATGGTACAGCCCTTGACTAATGAGCTTTTTATTTCTAGGGTTGTTTTTTCCTCCCAAGGTTGAGGAATATAAGTTCAAAAACTCCTCTGATGATAAAAAGAACACAAGTCACCCTGCTCCAGGCTGGAAGTGGATGAAAGAAGGCTTTTGTGACCTTTATGCAAACCCAAATAACTGGGAGATCCTTTAGGTAGAAACATATGCAGTAGGGATTTAAAAATCGGACACAATCCTACTGTCAGTTAACAGCTAAGAGGTGGTGCTTGGGTAGGATTCTCCAGAAACCTCCCTTCTTACCCCAGTAAAATTGAGATCACAAAGAAGTGAGTTGTCGTTCTCCTGAGAGGACACTCTTTCACTAGAGGGTGATGTCCCCACTCTTGTTCTTTCTCTTCTAATAAATTTTGCTACACTTTTACTATGTCTTGTGATCTTGCTTGAAATCCTCTCTTGCAAAGACTCAAGAGCCGAGAGCACAGCACAATCTCCAGTAAGATCTAGCTCAGCTATGATCTTATCTCTGTTACCCATATAGTGTAGAATACAGTTTGATGACATTGGACCATTGTACATATGATACCTGTGTTATCACTATGGCATTCAAGACATGAACTTTTCCATCATCTCCCAAATTCTCCCCTTTTCAATCAGTCTCCTATTGCCAGCCCTTGGCGATCCTTAGTCTGTTCTCTATATCATTAGACACGGTGCCATTTCTAGAATTCCATATAAAAGAAATAATACAGTGTAAACTCTTTTTTTTTTCACTTGGTGTAACATTTTTAATATTTGTCCATATTTTTTGCAGATATCAATAAGTTCATTCCTTTTTATTGAATGGTATTCCACTGTATGGATAAACTCCATTTAAAGACCTATTCACTATTGATGGGTATTCGGATTGTTTTGAGTTTGGGGCTATTATGAAAAAAGCTGCTAAGAATACTTGTGTGTAAGTTTTCCTGTAGACATTTGTTTTCATTTATTTCAGATAGATACCCAGGAGTTGGGTTGCTAGGTAAATGATACATGAAAGTTTACCTTTGTAAGAAATGATCAAATTGCTTTGCAAAGTGGGTACACCATTGTGTATTCCAATCTACTGTGTCTAAGAATTTTAGTTGCTCCATATCCTTGCTAACACTTGATATTACCAGTCTTTTAATTTTATAGCCATTTTAGATCATACAGCCATAGCTTATTGTCATTTCATTTTTTGGTTTTATTAAAAATGTCATTGGTATTAATATGCCCTGTGTTTGGAAAGAATATAAGATTTGACTCTACCCTGGTTTAGCTTCAGACTCTAATGTTTAAGTAATTTTTGCTCTGGATGGAACTAACCTATTAGGAACTGAGTTTTTAATCCTCAGGATAAGGTCACAGCTAGAGCAGGTGCATGGCAATGTGACAGACTTGCCAAGAGGCCAGTGGGTCTGCTCTGAGTGATGGTGACTCAGAGCTGCTTATTATTCTATTGCTCATGGCTACATCTCCTGGATACATGAGTAGAGGTAGTGATTTCTTTGAATTATCAAGGGAGGCCCTTCTTAGCTGTTCACAGAGGTTCTCATTTGTTCATTCAATAAATATTAAGTGTGCACTGCCTATGTATCCAACACTGCTATGGGTGCTGGGTGTGCATCAGTGAATAGACAGAAGCCCTAGCCCAGATGTACTTATATATGATATCATATCTCATATGATATGAACTATGAAGAAGAATCTCTTCCTCTTCCTCTCCTCTCCATATCCAGAGAGACAGTTTCAAAGGGCAAACCTGATCAGATACCTTAACCCCCAGATACCATTACTCCTTAACCCCCAGATACCATTATAAAATGTGACTTCTTACCCATGGTTCACAAGGCTTTACACGACGGGGGTACTTGGGAACTAATCTAGTACCACCACTGTCCTTACGTACCCTGTGCTCTCCATTCTGGCTAGATTAAACCATTAGCTGCTCCCCAAACACACTCTGCTTTTGTGTCTTTGGTTTCTGCAGCTCATCTTTTTCCAGTTCTTGCCAGTCTTTCATCCTTCTCCCTTGAGGATTTAACTTGGCCATCATATTCCTTGAGAAGGCTTTCCTAACTTCCCAAAAACAGTGTTGGTATTTCCCCTGTTGCCCCTGAAAGCATCTGTACATCCCTCTATCATAGCGCTTGTAACCCATCATTGCTTATGGATGTGCAAACCTCTCTTCTCCACTTGTGCTCCTTTGAAATTGCAACTCCTTTTTTTTTTTTTTTTCCTTTGGTACTGGGGATTGAAATCAAGGGCACTTGATGAATGAACCACCTCCCCAGCCCTATTTTGCATTTTTAAATTTAGAGACAGAGTCTCATTGAATTGCTTAGCACCTCACTTTTGCTGAGGCTGGCTTTGAACTGGTGATTCTGCTGTCTCAGCCTCCTGAGCAGCCGGGATTGCAGGCCTGCACCACTGTACCCAACTGGACTCATTCTTTTAGTATCCTTCACATAGAACTCAGTGTTAGCTCAGTTGAATGGATGAGCAAGAGACACAGAGTGAATGATTGCTTACAGTAATGAAGCAAGAGTGGATGGATGACTAGCACAGTGGTCAAAACCTCCAAAAGGCAGAGAGAATGCTTGAGATAGTCACGGGTGGAAGGAAAAGAGGGAAGAGAAGCAGAGAAGCTGGATCAAGTGCTTTCAAGGCAAGGCTGAGCCTATGATGTGTGGCTCTGATGTGATGACCTTTCTCCTAAGAAAGGTCAATCCACACAGGTTGCCGAGGAGAAGGGGCAGCAGCCCTAGATGAGGGGATAGGCTGTGTGTCATCCTTAGCAAGTGACTTGGCCTTTCTGATTCCTCCCCCTTTCTTCATCTGTAATGAGGAGGAATAATTTCTGCCTCACTGATGGTTTTTAAATAAGATTGTTGTTATAAGGGATAGTCACTTAACATCCAGTGTAGATGTCCCTTCCCTGAATGAGTACATCCCTGCTTTTCTCTGCTAATCCCTGTGTGTCTTTGTGAAGCTGATCCCTGCACTGCAGTGAGTTTGCTTGCACACTACAGAGAAAGACCCAGGAGCATGGGTGAGCAGATCTCATTCATGTGGTCATCCTCTGTGCCCAACCCAAGGCTCAGTATGGATGACGAGAAGGTGGATAAATTGTAAGTTCCTTCCTTCTTTCCCTGTTCATGATGCTAGGAAATATAGACCCTCCATCTTGGAGATGATGATGCTTCTTCCAAGACTACCTGTAGCTCTGAGGCTTCCAAATTTAGCAAGTCAATAAATAAACATCTGCTTTATGGGGAGATAAACAACTTCTAGATCAACAAATGTTGGCATCATAAGATGTTCCTTGGCAAAGTGGCCCCAACAGCAATGAGGAAAAGATGCAGGGGCCCCCAACAGCACTCAGCAGTGAGGGGGTATAAAAGGGAGGGCCTGGCCAGGCTAGCCCAGTCAGGCAGCTCCCTCCTAGCACTCACAGGACGCAGAGGTATCTCCACCATGTCTGGCAGCTGCTGTTCTAGAAAATGTCCCTCCCTGCCAGCCATGTCTCTCTGCTCCACTGAGGTGAGCTGTGGAGGGCCCATCTGCTTGCCCAGTTCCTGCCAGAGCCAGACGTGGCAGCTGGTGACTTGTGACGATAGCTGTGGGTCATCTAGCTGCAGCTCACAATGCTGTCAGCCTTCTTGCTCCGAGAACAATTGCTGCCAACCAATGTGCTGCGAGGCCACCATTTGTGAGCCTTCCTGCTCTGTGAGCAGCTGCGTTCAACCCGTGTGCCTAGAGGCCACCATTTGTGAGCCTTCCTGCTCCGTGAGCAGCTGTGTCCAACCTGTGTGCTGCGAGGCCACTGTTTGTGAGCCTTCTTGCTCTGACAACAGCTGCTGCCAACCCGTGTGCTGTGAGACAGCTCCCTGCCAAGCAGTGCTCTGCGTGCCCGCTTCCTGCCAGCCCATCCTCTGCGGCCCCACCTGCTGCCAGCCAGTCATCTGTGAGCCCAGCTGCTGTTCAGAGGTATGCACCGTGCCTAGCTCCTGCCAACCTGTGGTCTGTGAGCCCACGTGCTGTCAGCCAGTGTGTCCCACGCCTAGCTGCTGTCCATCTGTCTGCTCTGCCACCAGTAGTTGCCAGCCTGTCTGCTGTGACTCCAGTCCCTGTGAGCCACCTTGCTCAGAGCCCCAAGTTTGCCATCCAGCCATACAGGTGGCTCTGGTCTGTGAGCCTGTCTGCCTCCAGTCTGTCTGCTGTGTTCCAAATCCTTGTGAACCACCGTGTGTTTCCAGCACTTGCCAAGAGTCCTCATGCGGTGTCTCCAGTATCTGCCAACCTGTGTGCTCTGAGTCCAGCCCCTGCTCACCATGTGTCTGTGTGCCCCGCCCATGCCAGCCTCCTTGCTACATGGTCAAGCGCTGTCGTTCTGTCTGCTGTGAGCCTGTGTCTTGCCCATCCACCTCCTGCCAACCTCTCTGTTGCCGACCGGGGTCTTCTGCATCTGCCATCCGCCAGCCAGTGTGTCCTCCTAGAACCTTCTACATACCCAGTTCCTGCAAACAGCCTTGCAGTGCTTCGGTATCCTACCGTCCGATTTGCCGCTCAATCTACCGTCCCATCTGCTCGGGACCCATCACTTTGAGGCAACCGTACGTGACATCCATCTCCTACCGTCCTTCATGCTATCGCCCGTATTACTCCATCCTGCGCCGCCCCACCTGCTACACGTCCTACTCCTACCGCCCGGTCTGCTCCCGCCAGCCTTTCTCTGACCGTGACTCCTGTAAACCTGAGTGCAAAAAGTCCACGTCCAGCCAACCCGATTGCGATTGCGCTGACTCAACCCCCTGCAAGCCGGAAGTCTCCGAGGAGAGCCCCAGCCAACTCTCTGAGGCCAAACCCACCAGCTCACCCACCCGTGAGGCTGCAGCCCCTCCGCCTGCTGCCGGCAAGCCTGCCGACCGCTAGACTGGCCCGAGCCCACCAATTCTTGCAAAGCAAGCCACAAGCTGAAGAGAAAACCTGACGGCCTTCTGCAAAGTGCATTATGACTTAGCCAGAATCTTTACTCTCTACATCGTCTGCTTATGCTTCTAAGAACTCCCCAGAAATGTCAGTGGTCTAATGATCCAAATAAAGGCCTGCTGGTCACTGTGAGGAGGATCTTCTGGATTCTAGACTTCTCCTGCCCCATTCAGTTGAGAAGAGCTGTTTTGCCACATCACCAGACTTTTTCCTGACACCAAATGTTTTCTGTCCATATGTATGGGCTCCCATGTGGTGTGTACTCATGTTCCTTGGGGACATCTGCAATGAGCTATATTTAACTGTCCAATAAATGTGGCTAAGCTGAAGTGGCTTGCTGTTCTGTGAATGTCATAGTCTCACTAGAGACTTTCTTTAAGAGTAGTTTCATCCATCTACCCAATCACTCATCCATCATCTACCCACCATCCATCCATCCACCTATCCACCTATCCAGCCAGCCAGCATGAGCTCGCTGCTAGGTAGGTGCTGTGGACTGCTTAGGCTCTAGGAATGAGTCCCCAGGTATCAAGGAGCTCGCTCTTTGGTGGCATGACAAATAGGTGATGAGACATTAATTTTATTCTTTTGTGCTCATAATAGGGCCCATGAGTTCAGCGAGACATAGGGGGTACTAGGCAGGAATTCATGAGGGATGTGATACTGGAGCTGAATCTTTCAGCACAAGTAGGAATTAACCAGGTACAGAGAAGGAAAAGATTTCTAGGCAGGAAATACATGTACAAATGAATGGGCCAATCTGTGAGCAAGCTGCTCATTAGGTGAAGCTTGGGCAGAGGTGTCCTTAGGGGAGAGGTGAGTCCAGAAGTCAGAGAGCAGGAAGCAACCTGCCCGTCTGGGTGCTAGACAGAGGTCTTTGAGTTTGGTGCAGGGCTGATGTGAAGGTGTCATCAGGTTATGCAGGGAAGGGACGTGAAGAGCACTGGGTTTCGGAAAGTCCCTCTGGCCTTGGTGTGGGGAACTCAATGAAAGAACATGATCCTGGATAGAGAGAGACTGTGGAAGAAGCTAATTATTTTGGGGACCAAAGTGGGATGAAAACGACAAATAGGTTATACTCACAACAAGGAAGTTCAAGTAACCTAGATTTCTTATGGAAGAACTTTCCTTATGTTCTCCTGATCCCCACAAACACTCTTTGCGTACGCTTCATACGTATCCTTTTACAATGTCCAAGTACAGAGTCTCTTCAAAGCAGTCACCTCTTTCACTAAGTGCACAGAATAGAGGACTATCTGTTGCCCTCGAGGTGCAGTTTGAGCCATCCCAAGCACAGGAGGGGTTAGACCAGGACTTCTCAACTTTGGCATGATGGTCATTTTGGACCCGGTAATTTGTGGGAATTGAACTGTGCACTGTAGGGTGTTAAGCAACACCCCTGGTCTCTGCCAACTAGACATTGCCACACATTCCCTGGGAGGCAAAGCCACTCACACACATGTATGTATGGGTATACGAGCACATATATACATATTTGTTATATGTATATATACATTTGTGTAATATTCAGAGATAGATACACACGCACAATTGAGAATAGTCACTTAACAAGTAGCATAAAAATAACTAAAACCCAGTTTGGTCCAAAGTCACCAATTATTTTAGGGGTCACCACACTCCTTAATGAGGTTATAAGACATCTTTGGTGACACTCTAGATGTTTTTAGTGCCTTAAACTGCAGCAAAATGGATTTTCTTTCTATTGAGAGGTTTCTCAATAGAGAAAGTAAAATTGAGAGCAAGAATCAGAGAAAAGTGGGTGAAAAATGAATTGCTTTAAAACTGTACAAGTGGTGTGTTCTAGACTTTTTTTCAGATTGAAGTTGATGTGTTTTTTCAAACACACTCATATTCCCATTTTTATTGACCTATGTGGTAAGATCCAGAGTATTCCCTCTCAAGTGAGAGAGGAGTCGTTTTGGGGTACAAATAGAATGCAGTGCAGGGATCCCTGCATTTTGAAAGATGCCAAGATGATCAGAGATGAGAAAGTGAGCACAAGAAATGATCCGTGGTGTGACATAAAAGGCTGTGGCTGATGACCAGGGTGAATGCTCTCTAGACAATACTATGATTGGAAAACTACTTCTTTTCTTTAGCAGAGGTGAAAGGAAAAAGCATTTTGTATCTGGCACTTTGCAAAGGACCAGAATTTCCAACATTTTTATTAATTTGTGAGGCAGCCAAAGAAGAATGCAAATCACCCAAGAAACAACAAATGCCGCTGATGAAATCCTGGGACTTTGACAACTTGGGTGATTAGCTAACACGTCCAACAGAGTGAGTTAGTGGCCGAGCCAGAAATCGAGACCAGCTCTGCCTGGCATCCGAAGCCACCGTCTTTCCACTGCACACATCCAGCCTGATCCGGGCCAGGACATGGACTTGTGTGGAATGCTGAAGCTGGTCGATGTTGCAGAGCCACAACAAGCCCAGAGGGAAAAGAGAAGAATCAGGAAAGCCCTCACAAATACCTCTTGGCAAAGATTGACTTAACTCTACAACTACTTTGCAGCAATATGCTGATATTTCTTTTGAATGTTGTGCTTTTTTATTTGTAGAATTCATATGCTGCTGACTCCATAATATGAGTCTAATCCTTCTTGATGAAATGTTTGCATCTTTTAAAATTTCCAAATTAAAAGACTATCTTTGGGTGTATTGGAAGGAGGGTAAATAGTCAACCGGTTTGATCTAACTGATGATCAGAGTCACAACAGTGGGCTGATGATCCCCAGCTCCCGTCCTGGCCAATCCGCTTATGAGCCAGCACTCTGCTGTACAAATGACAGCCTCTGATCACTGTCAGAGTTGTCCCTTTCCTATCTTTCCAAAGTTAGGAGGTCTAATAAATAATGAGATTTGAGATTTGGGGGCCAGTTTAGCTAGGCTTGAATCTTGCTTATATTCATTATTTGCACATTTGGGGAACATGATTTAGATTCTCTGAGTTAGTTTTGCCACTTCTGATATAGCGATGGCGATTACACTTACTAAGGTCATTTTGAGGACAGATGAAAAGTGCAGTCAAGAGTGTGGTACATAGAGTATGAAGCAGGTGGAAACTCCGGAGTCGTTATCATTGGTCACGGTACTAATAAGGTTAATTTTCAGGAAAGCCAAATGGCAAGGTCCCAGAAAAACAACACTATGTGTCTTTGGGATCCACCGCCTAATTTTCTCTTCCTTACCCTGGATACCCTCACTCCCAGTAAGGTTGGAGCCTCACTTCCGGACTGGATGGTGCAGAACTGCATTCCTGGAGGAAGAGCAGGTGCTTTGGCGTGGGGGAGGCCTCCTGATGAGAGGGTGTACGGGAGATACCTGCTTCACTGAGGCTGGGGAGTAACCTGTAAAAGAGACAGCTCATCCCAGAGCAGCATCAATGAATTCAAAGTTAGCAAAGAAAGCTCCCAGCTTTACAGACATGTTTTCTAAGTAGGGTTATCTGCTGGGCTCCTGAAGCTTTCTAATCAGATGTTTGCCTGCAAATGAATAAGAACAATAACAAGGAAAGATGCCTTGGTACCCACGCCCCTGGTGAAGGACTATAAAAACCCCTCTGGATTAGATGTTCTCTGAACTCAGATACACTGAGTTTCCAACTTCCCAGCAAGGTTGGCATCAATACCATGACAGACGGCTGTAGTCCTGGAAACAGCACAGCCATTCCAGCTGTGCCGACCACTGCCATATGCCCAAAGAATCGCAGCTTCAGAAATGCTATCTGTTTGCCCAGTTCCTGCCAGAGCAGAACATGGCAACTGGTTACATGTCAAGAAAACCGTCAGCCATTCAGCAGTGCTCCAAGGAGCACAGAACCCGTTTCTTGTCAATCTACCTGCTTTCCGGAAACTTCTTGTGTGGGTTTTGTTTGCCAACCCATCTGTTCCTGCATAGGCTGCTGTGAATCTGGCACTGGTCAGTCTGCTTGTCCAGTCTCATCATGTCAGACATCCTGCTTGGAATCCACTGGTTGTCAGATAAAATGCTGTGATGTCAGCCCCTGTCAACAAAGCTCCTGCCACGAACCTGTCAGCACATCTGGATCATGCCAGGTACCTTGTGGCCAATCAGTCTGCTGTGATACAAGCTCCTGCCAGCCATCCTGCTCTGAAGTAACTCCCTGTCCTGAAACACCTTGCCCACCAGTCATCTGTGAGTCTAGTTCATGCCAATCCCCTTGCTACCAAGGAGATTCAGGCCAACTCATTGGTGGTGAAGTCCAGCCCTGCAATTCTACTTATTACCAACCCATCTGCTACATTTGCAAGCCTTGCCAATCAGTTCCCTGCCTGCCTGTTTCCTATCAGCCATTGACTTGTGTGTTCAGTTCTTGCAGTCCTTCTTGCTGTGTGCCCTCCCCTTGTCAGCCACTTCACTGCCATCCAGCTCCTTCTGTATCTTTCATCTGCCAGCCAGTGGCTCACTGCCAATTCCCATGTTCTATAAAGAACTCTTGCAAACCAGGTTCCTGTGGCACCATGCTTTCTGGCCAACAGACTTGTGGTGGATCCACTTCCTGCAAACAAAGTGGCTGCAAATCCCCTTCCTGCCAGCCACCTTGCTGTGTGACAGGTTTAGGAAAATCATCCAGTGATGGCTCCAGTTGCTTCTAGCCAACTTCCTCAGGTCTGTGCAAAGTAAGTTCCTGCTTGGCAACTTCTGGCCCACCCAGCTGTGAATCCAGCTTCTGTAAAGCAAGACATCATTGATGGAGTACTTTCCACACCTCCTCTGAGGTTGTGCTACTGTCTATATATACATAGCCATCCTATGGGTGCATACCTCCTGTGCAGCACAAATATTACCTGCTCTCTGTCTTTAAAGTCCACCTTCCATATTCTCTCTAGGTACTCAGGAGAGAACTTGATAGCCGTTGAGAGATCCTTCCTAACTGAGGATAACTTTTCAGCAAGCATGGTCCACTCTATAGCTTGCATTTCCTGATGTTGTCAATTCATTTCATGTCAGCAAAGCTTTCTGTCCAGTTGTCCTGTTTTTGAAGCTTCTCAACCTTTCAGAAGACTCCTTTGCTGCCAACTGGTAATAAAAATGTGAGTGGTTAAGTGCAATGAATAAGACTCATATAGTGCTTCCATTCCTTTCCTCATGCCACTACCTAGATTTCTTTCAGGTTCATTTGGATACATTGACCTTGAGTCCTTCAAGTCAGAGGGTTTGCATTGGTCTGCATGGGTAACAGGTGTCAGGAATTATAGATGCTCAAACTGAAAGGGAAAAAAGGACAAGTAGTTCACCTGCTTTTAGTCTTTTCACCACCAAGAGCTCTTTTGAATTGAGTGGC